ACCTACTTCATTTGATGATTGCCTCCTCTTTATTTGCCCAGGTGTAGTATATCCATTAGAATAACATCTGGACTAGCCTGAATACTCATGAGAACTTGTTTTCAATGCTGTGAATGTAAGAATAAAGCAAAACCAATGATCATTTCTAAATTATCTTTCATATGTTTTGCATAAGAACCTGCTGATATTTAATAATAACTGCGGAGTTATTTCTGAGTCCTCAAAAAGGAGTAAAATGAATTATTAAAAGGACTCTTGTACCACTTGCATAGTTTGTAGATGAAATGATGGGCTGATACATAACAGAAAAATCAATGGAATAGCAAGCATATTGTGTAATAATTTTTAAGAGTTGTCAAATATCTAATCACACTGGAAGAGTGGTGCCCTATCAGGAATTTTTTTTTGGTCTGTGAAGTAGTTCATTCTGACATTCTCGATAGGAAGCAGAATCTCTGACATAGGGCACGAGAACCAGAGATCCAGTGGGATTGCTTGCTTGCTTGCTTGGCTGGTTGGTTGGTTGGTGGTGGGTGGGGGCTTGTTTTATTTTGTTTTGTTTTCAGATTTCCTTGGTGTGTGGCGTTTATCGTGTTTTGTCAGTAGGAAGCAGGTTCTCTTACATAGGGCAGCCTTGTCAATCATGCTGCCATTTCTTGAGATGACTCCTTCCTTCTGTCCCCCCAGGGAAAGAGTAGGACTGAGAAACCCTGTCTGATCGAGGCCTGAAGTGGCTGGGTGGTTGGGGTAGGTATCCCTTTACTTACCCATCAAGAGGAATTGTGGACTGGATGGGATTCATATAACAAAAGAGAAGTTAGCAGGAAAAAAGCATGGCATCCTGATTTTATCTAAGACTCCTATGCCAGGGGAGACTTCAGAAAGCTAGGCTTATAGACTCTAGGGTAATCGCCCACTTGTATGCCTAGGTTTCATGCCACATTGACACCTCTTTGGAAATGTGATTGGGCAGAATGGCATGATCAAAGAGTAACAAATTGGTGGAGGGTAACCCTGCAAGGCCTACCTGATCTGATTATTATGTAGGGGTAAGGTGGTGGGGGTAGCCATGTTGGAAACATTTTCAGCTAATAACAGAATGAGCATCAACAGGGGAGAGAGAAGGACATAGGAAAGAGACCCCAGACAGACTGGTAGTTGAGGTTGACAGTCTGAGGAGAGGAGAAAGAGAGAAGCTAAGAAGAGGGTTCCCACTGCTGAGTCAAGAAAGCTGCCCAGTGCAGACTGACAAACTATGACATTGGAGGATTTGAGGATTGAAAATCAACCACCAGATTTGAAAACAGGAATGGTATGGATGTGTGTGGCCAGGGTGTGGCCAAAGGAGTTGGTAACTGAGATGTCAGATGCATGGTGATATATGCCATAGTGGAGCTGGGTCTATATCTTAGTGGTAGAGTATTTGACTAGCATGTACAAGGTCCTGGATTCAATCCCCAGTACTGACAAGAACATGCTAATTTTCTGTTTGTTTTAAAACACAAGTAGGAGTAGCATACTTTTAAGTAACTATAACAGTATAATTAATACATAAACCAGTGACATCGCCAGTGAGCATCGCTATCACTCAGTGAGCATCGCTGTCAGATGTTATGCACTGTACGTGGTTGTGTGTGATAAACGTTGATGTCACTGGCAGCATAGTATATTTGTTTACACCAGTATCACAGGGCCATGTGACGTTATGGTGGCTGTGATGTGACTAGACAGACAGTAGGACTATTTCAGCCCCCTCACAGACTATCCAGACTGTGGTCCTGCGTGTGGTTTCCATATCTGTACCATGTCTCTTGTATAGATGGGGATACAGAAATATGAATCAATACAGTGACCTGCCTAGGATGGTACTGTTGTTAGCTGGCAGCACTGTGGTTTAGCCTCACGAAAGCTGGTTACACAGTTTGCACCCCACATTGCTTTGTATCAGTTCTACTTGATGCTGTAAGTTGCCACAGCTTTCCTTCAATGCCTAGTATGTGGGTGGAACAGTGTCCCACTCCAGAAACTCATTAGTAGTTCATAATTTGTGTCAAGGACCCAGACTTCACATCCCACCTCTTCCTGCCAGCCATTTGTGTAGCTTCCTTGAGACAATGAAAAGCAGAGCCAGTATATTCTCTTACTCTAACAGTCATTATGAGACAGAATCTATGAAGCAGGTCAGTACTTGTACCCAAAGAAGGAGGAATCATTTTATTGTTAAGGTATCAAAAAGTTTCCAACACAGCAAGAAAGTTTTTTTTAAAAAAATGCTCAGAATTGAGCGAAATTATAAACACACTGCAGTCCCAGATGAGTCAGTATGTATAAATAGAAAAAATCGGTGTCCAGGGCCTCAGTGGTGCAACTTCCGACTCTTGTGTGTGGTGTAAATCACCCCGTGTGAGCAGTAATGTCCCACATAGCAATCAGTCTCTGTGGAGTACACTGTCAGATCCACTGTGTTACACAACACCCAGATCGTCCTTTGCTTCACCCTCGTGCATCCTTTTCTTTTCATATCCAGCAGTTAGTACTAAGCCCTGAAACCCTCAGTTACAGAACAAAGTGGCTCAGGAGTAATGGAGCCTGTGTGAGGCTCTGAGAAGAATAATGAACGTGCCCAGCAAGCTTCCTGCCTAGATGCAGGTGCAGAAATCAGGCGATCATGAATAATGCATGATATGCAGATTAGATGGTAGTTTATGCTACTGGGTTTTTGAGTCTGCTACCTGCCTGGCTGCTATGTGTGGAAAGAGGCTGATAGCCGAGGCGCTACAATTTAAAGATGGAACTCCCCAGAACTCGGAGTGTCCTTTTGAAGAAATGAAAATGTAAATGATAGCTGACATGTAACAGTTGTCGCCTTTTTAGGCGAAGTAAGCACCCTCAGAGGAAGAAAATATTTCTCAATTCCTATTTTGAGTTCAAGAAATGTTACAATTATTTGGTCATACAAATAATCAGAAAGTTTTTTGGTTTTTGGTTTGTTTTTTTTTCCCCCTAAGATTGCTAAACCATGATGGGAGTTACGAATTTAGAGTATTTCATCTAGGATTACTGATTTTTTTTTCTCAAAGACACCAATGTCTAGAATGCTTTGTAATTATGGAATAATGAAGCCCAGTCCACCTTCCCTGTGTACACATGAGGTGTAAAATGGATGGTGACGAGACACTGTGGTCATTCAACTTCAGCTGCTATGGTAGCTGCTGTAGCTGATCGCGTGGAAGACATGGTTCCTATGTACATTTAGGCTTCAGGAGGGCGCAGTGAAGGGGTTAAATGTTTAAAGGACTTGGCGTGGAGTGAGTCCTTGGAGCAGATGACTTCTGGAAATGTACTTAACTCTTAGAACCAGCGACACAGCGAGGGGCTGGGAGGAGTTCCTGGCCGTCCCCTACAGCTTTCCTTTGGTCAGCGGCCTTATCTGGTTATCTAGGGAGGGATTTTTTAACTCGGATGTTCATCTTGATGATCCTATTTCAAGAAGGCAGGGAAAATGAGTTTTGTTACTTTTATGTAAGTCTCATGTCTCTCTCTCATATGTACATGCATATATGAGAGAGCTAAGTATGTGTCTTGACGTGCTGGAGTATGAGCTGGCTTTCATTTCTAGCTGACGCTGTCATTTCCGCCAGGCCCCAGTCTGGACAGATGCCAAGACCAACAGGTGATCCCTTGTAGCTGCAGAACAGCAGGAAGTGAGCCGAGCTTGAATGAGGCAGTTCAGCAGAGGCCTCTCTGGCCTCCCTCCATCTTTCTGCATAATTATCGCCCCCTCCCCCATGCAGAGCAGAAAATCTGTGCTGAGCAGCTCAGCTGCAGCCACCACTGAGAAGCCTGTGAGAAAAAGAATGTTAATAAGGGGTGCTGGAGGAAACCAGCATCCAGTACAAAGTGCAATCCAGCTCAGGTTTGGGAAAGATGGCACTTCCCCCCACCGAAAGGCTGGCCATATCTGTTTTGATGTGATTTTCACTGAGTAGCAGGGAGGGGCTGGGGTGCAGATAGACCTCGGGCTGCTGGTTTTAACAGGGCCTTAGGACCAATTGAGATAATTTTGTTTCTTTCCTTAGTCCTTCTCTTGTTCCTTCCCCGCCACCCTGTGAATAAAAACAATGTATGGAGTGTGAAGATGGAGTGTGACTCAAGCTAGAAGAAAGGCTAGATCTCAGGACTCCTGGGCAAGCAGTCCAAAGCAAGAAGTGAGCCACTAGGGAGCTGGAAGTAGCCATACTGTTTCCTTGGCTAGTTGGTAACTCACAAGGAGGACATCCAGCCACTGGCTCCTGTTGGAAGATACCAGCAACTCCGGGAAACTTTAAACTCAAACCCTGCGTGACTCCAACCTAAGAAACTTGGAAAACTATGTATTTCTTTCTACTACCTGGCTAAAGTTTTGAATTCACTCCTTCCTCAACTCAGATATTGAGCATAAATTCCAGAAAGCCTGTCTCCTGGAAATAACTGTCCACCCTTCTGTCCTGACCTGTTCTTACACACCCCATTCCTGGACACTTAGATGAAATCCTGCTGTTCCCTTGACTTTTACGTTTAGAAACAGACTGAAAGTGTGGTCACTTCTCTGTCTCTTTGTGCAGTTTCTATGGGAACAGATGTAAGAGCTCAATGAGGGCAGGTATCATGGCCTCCATGTTACTTTACACACTCTTACCCCCAAGCAAGGATTACATCTTCAGTTACTGTGTCTTCTGCTAGAGGAGTACATCTGTTCATTGAAACCAGTGGTACTGCATTTGGGACCTTCACAATTAACATGTGATACCTGGTTGCCTTGGGAGAGATAAAGAAAGAAGCCTTCAAGTTTGCAGACACTGGAATCTAATTGCATCTGTTTACTAATAGATGTTCAAGCTCACAGGAGAGAACAAATCAAGTCAACCTAAGAGTTCATTGATAAAGCAGACTTTCTGCCTTCCCATCTGTGGTTGACATGATGTTTTCTCAATCACTGACTGACTTTTGTCTGTTGACAGGGTACATCCATCTCCAGTATCCAGGGTTCGGGGAAACCGAATGAATAACCAGAAGTTTGCTTGGTGAGTATACAAGTGAAGTTATAAATATTTGTTAGTCTCGTATTGCTGTGGATGTTTTGTTTTCTTTATTGAAGCAGTGTCTCATAGATCCCAGACTAGCCTGGAATAAACAAAGAAACAAACAAACAAACACCGGCAGAGTTCCTTTTAGTTAGAGCTCTTCATTCACCAAAAACTCTGTAGGTAGCATTTTTTCCCTAACATGTACTCTAACTTCCCAGGATCACCCAACTCACCTTTGAAAACAGTGGTTCCTTTTTAAAATGTGACTTATTTAGCCCAGACTTTTCTTAGGTGTCACCTTCAGCTTCTAGTGAAAAAAATCTAGTTAATTAATCTATTTATTAACTTATTAATAAATTGCAATTATTATAAAATTAGTAAATCCATAAATAAAATTATTAATCTTTAGATGACCTCTCTTCCCTTCGGCCTTGCAAGGTCTTTCTGTAATTGACAACTTCTTGAACACAACTCTAAATAGAACTCCCCAGAAATGATATGAAGTTATTTCAACCACATTTGATAAATGATTCTTTGAAGAGCCAACTTAAAGGACTTCAAAAATGTTTTATGTGAAACCAAGAAAATAGATTAATATTGGTTCAAATATCTGCTTCTTTATATTACTGCCCAAAATTAGCCTTTCAATTCATAATGTATCATGGAAAGGAAGATAAAAGAAAGAAAAATGAAAGAATTGAGACATGTACAGCGTTACTTCAGAAATGGGTAGGAATTCATAGATCTCTGTCTTACTGTTTTAGATTATGCTTAGAACAAGATTTTGATCAGAAGCGATGTTTTCTTAATGTGGGAAGAGGAGTGCCAAAGATTCCACTTCCAAATTAATTTAATTCCTAAACCAGGATATTTTTTAGGGATACAAATGACACTTTGAATAGTACCTGATCAATTTGCCTCCATTCCCCCATTGAATCTAATTAGCCCTCACAATAGCCTGGTGCTCTTGGGAAATATTATGCTTTGCTTTTTCACAGAGAGGGAGATGCAGCACAGAGGATGAGCCTTTTCTTTGGCTGCCCAAAGGCTACGCATCGTTGATGGTCATTCTCAGTCATTAAGGCATGCTGTCCCTTGTCAGACCTGGGATGATGAGAGAATAACAAAGCCAGGAGACACAGAATGAAAGTAAGGGAGAAGCCAGGTCCAGTTTGGACTCTGTAGAACTTGTGTTCCTTCTCAGGTGAAGGCACATTATACCGAAGAAACTTTACTCCGTGAAGAGAGAACATGAGATAGTCAAGTGAGCAACATGAGCCAGCGATGGTAGGGAACACTGGCAGCCCTGAGGTCTGCCTTCTGCCCCTTTGCTCTGAAGGGCTGAATGGGAAACACTGAGTCGATAATACATTTTCTTTCTCTCCCTTTTCATTTCTATACAAGAGGTAAAGATAACTTGTTCCTCCAGAGTTTGTAGCATGTCGGTTGGTAAGATTAAACTACTTTTATCTCTAAATTAGTAATCCATGAAAATAACCCAAAGGGATTTTACTACTAGCCCTGAGAAAATGCAGCTCATGTTTATTTAACTACATTTATTTATGTTCCAGGCACTGTTACAAGCACTAGATTAGAAAGATAAATAAAGCATGGTTTCTATCCTCAGAAGGCTAAGTGACTTCTAGGGGAGGGGTGTGTGTGTTTGTGTGGCACAGGGAGAGAGTGAACGCCCTTAAGTCCTGATACTCTCCCTACTGCTTCCTCGGCCTCTATGCTGGGAACCACATGTATGCTCACATACATGCATGATAAGCTTAGATTCTCTAATGCAATGTAGATGATACTCTGTGGACATGTGTTCACATTGCGGTGTTCGTAGAGGTCACTTACCACCTTTATTTAAGACCACCTGGAGAGTTGTAGTTCTGAGGGGAAAATATGTAGGAAGGAAGAGACCTAAAAATCAATTCCAAAACCTGAGACTAGAGCTCTTGCCTAGCATACTCACAAGTTCTGGATTTGATTCTTAGTACTGCAAAAACAAAAGAAGAGAATCCATCCCAGAGAAGAAATCACTGGAGTAAAGACACATTGTTAGTAGAACAGCAAGATGAGCTATTGTGTCCTTCAAAGATGAAATCAGACCCAGAAGAAGATGAAGACATTTCTAAATTGATTCTAACAGGAATACTGATAGATCTACTGTATAAACTTGTTGGGTCAGGCACTAGCTAAAATGTCTATGATCTATACTGCCTTGAATCTTCCTTAGGTAAATACTGTGACTCTGGTGTGTGGATAAATCACCTGCAAGGAAGAAGCAATGAATCATCCAGCATCTATTCCTAGTGAAGTGATAAATGGTTGATACTTGGTTGTGAAATATTGACTATGAAAAAATCAGGAAGTTTAACTACTCATCTAGCAGTGGTGAGAACAGGCAGGAGATATTTGCTCTCCTCAAAATAGAAGTTGGGAATAATTTGTAGAATTCTATGTCAAGTTCATCACTAGCTTGGCTCTGGCTTCCGCTAGAGCCTCAAATAGTATGCATAAGAGTTAAGAACTGTGAATTCGTACAGTTGGGTTAGCAAATGCTCCAATCAGTTAAAGCTGTTCCTCAAATAAGCAATTAAAATCCATAAATAATGAAAAGGCTTGAACTTCCTCTGTGGAGTTAGATAGCTCACTCAGTAGGTTCTGGAAGGCAGTGGTTGTGGCTGACAGCTCCTAAGCCAATGTCTATTATTGAGTAAAGTGACTTTAAAACATTTAAAGAAGCATTTTCCTCTTCATAATGCTGACACAAGGACATAACCACTAGCCACTTCCATGGTAGTTGTGTTCTGGAGGTGAAGAAATATGTGGGCAAGAATGTCTTTTCAAAGCAAACAGCATCAGCCAAAACCAAAAGAAAATGCATTAACACTGTGAACATGTCCAGAGAGAGAACTGGAGCACCAGGGCCTCTGGGTCCATGACAGGTGCTAGGATGCAGCCAGGTTTGAGCTATGTGTTAACTCTCAGAGATTCAGGAATGGCAGGAAGACCTTCTTACGAGGATGGAAGCATAACAGTAAAGAAGACTGGGTTATTAAATGATTCATTTAATAAAGAACCAGCTAAGGAAAGTGGGCCAGTCCAGATACAAGCTCCATCCCCCTCAGAGCCACCACACTGTGGAGTAGTTGCTGATTTGGGAATTGTTAACCCTTTGGGCTGCAGAAGTATAAATTTCTTGGTATCATGCTTGGACTGCTCCTCTGCGTTTCACTATTGCCCCTGCAAGGAGGTGTCCATAACTGTTAGAGGGTAAGGGAGTAAACCATTTTCCTTGTACTACCCCTGGGGTTCATTAGCTGAGACTCTGCCAACAGCAGAGAGGCTATTATGGGAAAAGTGAAGGCAAGTTCATGAACATGTTCACTGCACATTCATAGGGGAATGTGCCCAAGCAAGGGGCTCAGAATGAGTGGAAGTTGGAACTTGGGTTTCTGTAGCATCTATTGCATCTTACCAGAGGGTTGGTTGGTTTGTTTGTATTTTATTTTTGGAGAGATGATGAGGCAAAGAGAGACTTTGGACTTCTAGGGATGGCAAGTTATGGGATGGTAGGTATGCAGGGGACACCAAGCAGAAGAGCTGCTTAGGTGGGTTCCATTGGTGTCATCCCTGGATTAGTAAAAGTTGTCTCTCCTGATAGAAATGACCCTGTCCTTCTGGGCAGGTGGGGAGTGCAGAGAGGTTTCCTCATACCTGCTCTTTAAGATTTACTTTGGGGTGTGTGTGTGTGTGTGTGTAGAGAGAGAGAGAACAGAAGACACCATCTGCTCCTTGGAGCTGGAGTTACAGGCTACTGTGAGCTACTTGACATGGGTACTGGAAACCAAACTCAGGTCTTCTGGAAGAGCAGCAAATGCTCTTAACATACTTAGCAGACTCTCCAGCCAGCTGATGCTTCTTTTCATTTCCCTTGGGTCACGTGGATTCTTATGTGTCTTCTTTTTTTCATCTGCCTTGTATCACATAGATTCTTATGCCAAACTGCTGTATTTTAGGGTATGCTGTTCTGCTCCCTTTCACTGTATAAATCTTCTTTTAGAACATTTACTTCCCTTTCTTGGACATGGTAATACAAGAAAAAAAAGTTTGTGATCTTTCAGGCAAGTGGGGCTATTTCCCCATTAAAACACTGAATGTGAAGTTAGATTTTTAACTCACTGTAGACTTTTTGCTGGAAGCTGTTCTCCTATAAAATTCACAGGAGAGTGGCCATTTCCACGTTTGACTTCCATCATTATGTTTTCAAAGGTACAATACAAATCTGAAATCTGTGTGTTTGGGTGCATGTGTATGGTAGGACAGAACCAGGGGGCTTCTGTGGGGATTTTTGTCAAATATACACCAAAGTTGGTTTATAGCTGCAGATACTTCCAGGATTGAGTGAGTGCTCAACTACATGACCATCTCCATATATGCTCATTCTTCGCTTTTCACACATTCCTCTCCCTCTCTTTCCCCTCCACCCTGCCCTGCCCTTCAAGGTTTAAAGGACCTGGACATTTGTCATTATTTGGGAGTGGTAATGGTTGGACAGAGTCTCTGGAACACATTCCAAGAGTCATCACATGCATTGGTACTTGGAGCCTCATAATCGAGACTTTATGGTTATTTTTATGCTGACATAGAAAGTAAAGCATTTCTTCCCTTTAGTGGAAATTGTCCTCAGTAAAGCAGAAGTAATTTTCTCTATTGGATGTCACTGTTGCCATCTCAACTATGATTTCTCTCTTACTAAGTATCCCTGAGATTGTGTAGACATGGGAAAGTCCCAGTCTTAATAGTCTCCAGCCAGATTATGCATTCTGGATTGAGTCATGTTTAACATTTGAATGTCTGCAAAGTGTATGTTACAAGTTTTTGTAGAGGGCAAGAAGTTCCTGTTCTCACTTGAATGTTTCACTGTTGGAGATGTGCTATAGTAAGCTTAAATATTTATATACATGCAGTTGCAAATGTTACTACTGTCTTCATGG